ATTGTGACATGCAGCAACTGCTTTTCTATTTTTTTTTACTTTGGGTTTATGTTGGTGGTGCTGCTTCTTCTTCTTTTTTTTTTTTTTTTTTTTTTTTCCTTGCATTATTCCCCTCTCTTTCTGTGACTCAGAGAACTGATTCTAGAATAAATGTAGGGTTTTTTTGCAGTAGTCTCCAAATACTCACATATTATCCTGCAGTAGTGTTGGTTAAATAGAGATGGGTTTGTAGAAACCTAGAAATGGTGCCCAAATACAAGCATTTTCTCATTCTTTGCACTGAAATTTGTGGTCTTGGAGCTTTTCTGAAAAAATAGACATGAATTGAAACAGAAGATATTCTAACTTATGTATATAGATTTTTTTTTCCTTTATTCTAACAGTCAAATATGGAAATGAGAGGTTGTGTAGCCTTTACCTCTGATGATTTTCAAGATGCTACTGGGTAAATCCCTCTTTATTTGGGCCAGGGAACAGCAGGTTTCATTTTTATAGTGAATTGTGGCAGTCATAGGTACAAAGATTGTGAAAATTCTTTTCTCTGCTTTACTTTGGTAAGTCCTGCCAGCAAGTAGTAAGGCTATCCATTGCAAGTGAGTGTTATTATATAGGTATTTTAACAAAGGTATTGACTTACCTGAAGTTAATAGAAGCTGCAGAGACTCTTAGCATTTGGGACCAAAGGAAAAAAAAAAAAACCCATTAATCAATGTATGGCAAGCTTGTCTACTATCTCTCCTACTGTCCTGTCTCCAACAGTGGGAAAAAATCAATATCCTTAAGTAAGGAAGTATGGGATAAGCATATTGGATTCTTGCTACTTTGCAGCTATTTTCAGCTTGGATTGTTTCCTGAAATACTTATGGTTTCTAGGCATGAGTGTTTGTATAGCTAATACCTACTGCTGGAATTCTCCATCGATGTTTAAGTAATGAATTGAAGTTATGTTAAAGACTAAAAGCAATAACTGTCATTGTTAAAATCCTCAACACTGGCAGATGATTCTTTGTTTAGCCTTTCATTGTAACCACCACCTGCTCTGGGAGTCAGTCTTGAAGGATCACTGCTGTTTTCATGAATTCCTAACTGTCCAGTTGAAACCAAGTCTCATTTAAAAGTGCTCCTTCTACTGCAGGATGCCCTGTGCCAGTGTGTTCCTACACCTGTTGGAAGCACCAGTGAACACTGCACCAAGATAAGTCATGAGTGGCTCTTTGAAGGTCTGTGCAGCTTGGGAAATCTCCACTGGTTTTGTCCCATGTGAAGTCAACCTGAAAGTATTGATAACATTCTTTAGAAGCTTCAGAGGCTCTAGAAAATTAATGCTGTTTTGAAAACATCATTCCCTCATCTCCTCTTTTCCTCCCTCTCCAAATGTAGGACTTCTTTTTTAATTTTGGCACTTCTGTCCACTAATAACTAATGTGGACATGAGCTAATAGTGAGGATAGTCATCTTTCATATAGCTGTGTGGTAGTGCAAATGTAGCAAACTTAGATACAGTCTATTTAAATCTCTGTTTAAAGTGTTCTTACAAAAAAAACAATGGTAAAATAACATCAGTAAGCAAAATTATAAATGAAAGCTTGATGGCAAAACGGTCTCCAAGGCCATGTAGAGGTTGTTTGGTTAAATGTGTTAATGTGTTTGATGTTTTAGAAGTAGCACTGTACTGACAAGATTTGGTTGTTATTGTTTTTTTTTTAACTCCTAATTATAAATGTGGTGTAGTATGGGAAACCACTTCTGTATGTAAAATAACTGATTAATTAGTTTAATTAAATTAATTAAAATTAATTAGAAAGGAGTTCAGAAGGAAAAACAACTATTTGGATTAAGCAGTGGCTCATTTTGAGGCCATGGTCATAGAAGATTCTATTATTAAGAATAAAAGCAGTGCTAGTATGTTGACCTTTCTAAGAAACAATTATAAAATTGTCTGTTAAAGGATGCTGAGAATTTGAATGATTATTCTGTGGATATAATTCTGTCTTTAATTTAAAAGAATTTAGTCTTGCATTTGCTATGGACATTTGTTTAGTGAAGGACTCTCTTACAGTTAATATAATGATGCTGGAGTAAGCTTTTTCAGCTTGAATATGTAAGTTGGAAATCACCAGTGATTTGCAAACTTAGATGAAAAGTAGAAATATTATCTTGAATATGTTAGCTGCAAGAATTAAATGCTGCCACTTCTAGTAGCTGTGGCTAATAGCATCACTACTTCTGCTTAGTGGTAGTAAGCTCAACCCTTGGAGCAATGGAAATGAAAATCTTTATCGGCTCCCCCTTTCTGTATTCTGTTTTGAATGCATTTTATGATGTAGACATCTTTTTGTTAAAATTTCATTAGCACTGCTGTCTGGCTTCAGTCAATTGAGTTGTCTTCAGCTAAAAGTTAAAGGATGAGTACTGCCTTTGCAAATAATAATAAAAAAGTCATACTAATGCTATAGCCTTAAATTCTCAGTGCTTGTGAGTAAGACTGGTTCCATATATTCTTTCTGGTCTTGACCAGACAGTGACAGTTTATACACAGTTGTCATCTGAATTAAGCAAACCATATGTACTCCCACCACCCTCCTGTTTGGGGGTGGCAGTGTACAGGAACAAGAGCGGGGTACTTTCTCTGCTTGGCATCCCTACCACTGTGGATCCAAAACATGCAAATTGACTGCAGAACTGTTTTGCTAGTCAACAACTACTGTACCCCACCCACATTTCTAACTAGCAGATGGTGAGTCAAGCCTGTAGAACATGGTGATGGATTTTACTACATCCCTTGAAAAGTAAATAAATAATATTTGAAAATCTTATTTAAAAAACTAAATTACAGATCTAATTAGCTACAAAAGCATAGCATCATATAAGTAGGGGATTTATATTCTCTGTAAAACTTTCATGGTCACATTAAATAAACATTGCTTCAGTAATTTAAAGTACTTCTTAAGCAGGAGACAGTATTTTTTAAGGTATTGGTCATCCTAATGTTCTCAATATCTGAGATTTCTGACTAAGACATTTGTTATGGAAAAAAAGATCAAATGCTATACTGCTACAAGTCGTTTTGATAAAAAAGAGAGAGGGATTAGATAAGCATTTAGAACAAGAAATCTTTCAGCATGAATAGGCAGAACAAATGACTTCATTAACTTTCAGCTACTGTGCATTTGTGTGAAACCATGCTAAAACGATAGCCCTGTCAGAACTGTGTTCTTTCTATGATTTCCAAATCATAGTATGATTTTTTCCAAGTCACCAGCTGGTGGGCTGCTGTTTGCTCTGGACATCAGGCAAGATTTTTCCCTGGAAAAATTTTCCGGAATCAAGATGCTGTAGGCCAGGTCATGGTTGCCTCTGTTTCTCTCTCAGTTGTATTCAGCTTATTCTTTCTGTGGCAGCTTTTTGCATAGTTACATAAATTTGGCTTGAATAATCTCAGTTTGGTATTTTAATATAATTTAGTAATGTAAAATAATAATTTTTAACTTGATCTCTCCATGGATGAAAATTATCCTTAGAACAAAAGACTAAAATTCAACTCAGATTTTTTTTTCTGATTAGGAGCATTCTTAGAACTTGAATGAGATAGAGTCTTTGCCTTATTGAGTCACCATCTGTATAAATTGCAGTGTTAATGTTTGCTCTAGTAGACACTTTTAATACACAAAAAGGAAATTTCCACCAAGACATCTAATGAATTAGTGGCACAGACAGTGTGATTACAGAAATACTGTTATGTCCTAAAACAATATTTATTACCCACTCTGTAATTATGTAACAGCAGCAGCAAGATTAAAATAAAATTGCTTTTTAGGTTTGATCCAAGAATCTTGCTTGACAATTTTATCAGAAGAGTGTGACCTGTCAGTCTCTCTCACTTCCCTGCACTGTGACCTCTCTTCTGACTTTCTATTGTTAAGTTCACATAATCGATCTTATCTTTTGTCTAGGGACCTCATCCCATATATTTTCAAAATCTGCATTTTGTATATAGCAGCAGGATATCCTCTAGCATCATTAATTGAATTTACACAGTACCTCTGAGCACCAAAATAAGATATTTAACCAAAGATATCAGTACTATAATAGTGAAGAAAAAGTGGCTCCAAATTCTAAGCTGAAGGAAAAAGGTAAACAAGTTAGTTTTCAAGTTGATTTTACAGATGAAAGAAGTCAAGTATTTTTGAAAAACAAAAATCAAACACATTCTGTGCTATGATCTTTACTTACTGCTAAGACTTGAACTCCAACATCAGAATACACCTACTAGTATAAAATGTTATCATCCAGGTTCATGAAAAGCACTGAGGAATTTGAACAAAGGAAGTAAATGCTGTTTTGTACTTCATCAAAACTGAAGTTACCGCTTCTTCCATTTTCTTTAAATGTATCTTTGCAATGTTTTTTTGTGTTATCATTTGGCCGCCTGCTGAGTGTCCATGTTGCATCCTCACAAGGAATGCATTACAGTAGTTTTAAGAAGATGAAAATGATATCAGTCAAGTTCATTTACTTGCATTAATAGCAAAACTATATTCACTATCATTCTAAATACAGGAGTTGCATTCAAATCTTTCGGATATCTGAATTATGAGATGAGGTGCCATGCTTATTGGTTCTCTAATCTGTTTTATTGAAATGTCATAATTGTAAACCAGTTCTAAATGCTTTGATTCATTTGTGTCCAGTAAGTCCAAAGACAGTGTGAGCGGAAAGGACAAGTGAACAAAACATAAAACCATAGTGTTGTGAGAAGAAGTGTAGCAGAAGTTAAAAATCTATTAATTGTACTTCCCCTTAAAGAATTTGGCTGGTAAATGAAACATGCAACCTTTTGAGTGTAATTATGTTGTAATTAAGTTGTTCTGCAAGTTAGAGCTGAGGATGTAATGCTCATGAGATAGTTTCAAGGGACAACACTTACTATATTGGAAGCTGAAATAAATACTGGAGTATTTTTCTTCAACAAACTGTAGATTTTTTTTTTTATTTTTCAGGTAGTAGGGGCTATGTATGAACCTGTGCCAGAAGGACTGTACTCTGAAAAAGTCTCATTTACCATTAAGAGGTAATTACTAATTTTATTTCGATATCCTGCTGTAAAGATGTTTTTGTTTTGTATGCTTCCAGCGGAGATAATGTGACAGTTTGCAGACTTTAGCAACTGCCACTATTTGTCTCTGAATAGGAAATATCTTTGGATTTAAAGAAAAACAGAGCTATCTCCTTACACCAATAATAACATATACAATATAGCTGCACACATGCAACTGGAAAACTCATACCAGTCTAGTCAGGGCATTCATTTAACCAGTATAGACTTTATATTCAGTACTGAAATTTACATTTAACAATGTCAGTGCTGTACTTAATTCCCTACTCATCATTTTTTTCCCAATAAAAACCCAGAATTTGAGTAATTTTCAAATGCAGATTGTGGTCAAGGAAATAGTCCCATTAGAATATGTTATTTATAGATCATTTTATGATCATGTTCATAGCTTTTTCTGCTTATTTGACTGATAGAAATACGTTTTCCCCTAGCTTATAAATTCTGTTAGCGCAGCAGCAGTGCTAACAAAATAATGGAGGAAAAGATGAGCCTGTACTTGCTACACTCACTCATCACAAATTTCTTAGCTATGTTTATATCTTCCTGAAGATAATGTAATGTGTAAGGCAAAGTATGGAGTGAATTAGAGATTTAGTTAGCTCCCTTGATTTTTCCATTTTAGAAAAAACCCCCCCACTTAGTACAAACGCTTATACTTTCTCATTCAGATATTCTATTCTGTCTCTAAAAAACACATTACAAGAAAGGTAATGTAAGGAAAGGTTTGTGTGAGGTTATAAACTAAAGTTTTTATAGTATGTTTTAGTGAACAGAAAGGTTTCTGTTACTTAAAGACCTTGTGGACAGAGGGCAACAACGGAGAGTACAGGAGCTAATAGAACTAACATTTTTGTTTAAGAGGTTCTGAAATGAATTTTAATGAAAATATTAAAATCTTTACATTACACAAGAATTTTTCTACATATTTTACTAACATTGGGAGGCATAAAGTTTTTTTTTTTATTGTTAATTTTTGAGGGGCTATTGTTTTTAATATCTCTTACTATGGGTTAAATCTTAAATGATTTGTTATGTTTAAGTTTTTGCTTATGCTTTGTGAGCTATTTAGAAAGAATAGAAAACATTAAAGAAAAGCAGTAACAATGAGATTTTAGTTATATAGATGAGGAAACATTAACAGAAAATATGTAGTTATTTTCAAATGAATAAAACAGAACACATTTCAAAGATTAATGCTGTAAGTAAAAAAATAATTTCTTGATAATGATTTGAAGAAATATTGAAAGCTTTTTGTTGCAAATGTGAATTTTCATTTAGTGTTATCATTGCTATTCTTTAGTATCATTATTAAAATACAGTTTTAATGCTTTAAGCTACTAAAGAAAGTTCTGGAATCATAGTCATCAAATTCCTTCAGAGTTGAACATCAACCTACTTGGTGTTTAGTCATAAATAATTTTGAGATGCATGAGAAATGGATATAGGACTTATTAAAAATCTCTTCTAGCTCCCATTGGTCTTGGAACTTTTGCCCAGTTTCAGTGAATTAAAATAAAAAATCAAAAGGAAACCCCAACCCAGAGTATTTTTTAAGGGTGAAAACTTGCACCTCTTTAAAAGAAATGCAAAATTTAAAGTAAAAAATATTTTTAAATTTATGAAAATTAGTGAAATTAATCACCACATTTAAGCAAATTTAAACAAAAATATTAAAATAAAAAAGTTCAAGCATTGTAAAACATTTTCAAAAGTGCTACTATGCATGTCAGTTCTGTTTTGCTTAGAAAAAACTGCTTTAGAAATCATAAGTCATTCTATGACATTGTCTTTGAAGAAGAGTGTTGGGTTATATATTTGTGTTAGCAGGACAATGGTACTGTGCAAGGAAATCATAATAAATTACCAGATTCATTGGAGTTAACAGATTTAAGACATTTTTTTTGTACATGCAGGACTGTCCCTAGCAGTTTTCCTGCATACAAAATGTTCTGGGGATTTAAAAATAGGACTAATAATATATTATCACCATTACTAAACAGTTACCTAGGGTGCCTTTAACATAGACCTGTTAAAGTATTTTTGATTGGAAGGGACCCCTGGAAGAGTCTAGTCCATCCTGCCTAATGCAGATACAATTACATATGGTTGCTCACTGCTCAGGTTTTTTTCTATGTCAGTTTTGCATTGAAGAATGGAGATTTCAAACTTCTCTGGGCCCTCTGTAGTTTGTCTACCTTTGTGATTAAATGTAATAGTAATAATAATAACAATTTTTGGCTCTATCCTGATTTCCCTGTGGTTTAACTTGTCTTTCGCCTCTTGCTCTAACACTTTGCATCCCTGAGAAGGATCTGGCCATGCCTTCCCATTATGCAGGTAGCAATCAGATCTGAGAATAGGTGGTTCAGGTCCCTCTGACAACTGCCTTGCCCATGTATCCCTGCAATTAATTCATTGTTCACAAACCTTTGGAGAATGCACTCTCTCCCATGATCTAGGTCATTAATAAAGACATTAAATAGTACTGACCCAACATCAGTCCTTGGAAGATGCTACTTCCAGCCACCACCTGGACTTTGTACTACTGATGGCATCGCTTTGAGACAGGAGGTTAAACCAATTATCTTCCTATCTTATAGTCCTTTGGATACTGTGGGATATTGTGTTAAACAGAAATCTTGCTAAAATAAGGCTACCCCCAGCATTTATTTCTCTTTCCTTGTCCTCAGACAGTAATCTCATCATGGACACCGATCAGCCTAGTCAGGTATAACAGCTGTTTGGTTAATCCATCTCACTGTTCCCAGTCACCTTCTTGTCGTTTTTGTGCTTGAAAATTACTTCCAGAGAAAATTGCTCTATTATTTTCCCAGAGACTGACGTGAAGCTGTCTGGCTATGAGCTCCCTGAATCTTCCCTCTTGCTTTTCTTGAAATGTCTATGATATTCAGCTTTTATCAATTTCCAGAAACCTCCGTTTGATTCTTTTAGACATGACAGATAGTGGTATTGACCAATCAAACCAGGAGACTTTTCTCATTTGGTCCCATGAACTTGTCTATGTCCAATTGGCTTAAATGCTTTTTCACTGTATTTTCTGCTATATGGAAATGTCTCACATTAATAGATTCTACAGGTAGGCTCAGAGATCTGAAAACCTTATAGTCAAAATTTTTCAATGGAAATGGAAGCAAAAGAGGGACCAAGTGTCCCATAGGTTTCCATGTCATTTGTCACTAGGTTGCTTAGTGGGTCCGCATTTTCCGTAGTCTGTCTTTTGCTGGCCATTTCTCTGCCTTCCACATCCATTGCTAGTTTCAACTTTTTCAGCTTCAGCTGAAGTTTGGCTTTCCTAACTCTACCCTTTGGGCAATATCTGTATTCTTCCTGTGTAGTCCACCCCTGATTCCCACATGCAGAATTGGTTCTGGTGCTTTCAGATCTCCCTGAAGATTAGCTTGCTTTCCCAGCTTTCCCTTTACCTTCCATAGTGGTCTTCTGTGAGATTCTACCAGGAAGATCCCTGCACATGCGGAGTTCTGCTCTCCTGAAGACCTGTGCTGTAACCATACAATCTCACTTTCTTACTTCTCTCAGGATTTTGAAGTCCACAATCTCTGATGGTTGCTGTAAGATCAAGAGACTGCCGTTGATCTTCACATCCCTGCCTCTTTCTTCCTTGTCTGCGAGTGACAGTTCTGGAAGAGTGCCTTTCAGCACCATCAAGAAATTTTCATCAGCAGGTTTCGGAAAACTCCTGATTGCTGCACTCAGCCATGTTATCCCATCAGCAGATATCAAAGTGTCTGGAATCATGAAGCTTCTTCCATCTGTCCAACAAAGTCTTCATGGACTTTCTCTCTGGTTTTGTGTGGTTTATAGCAGGCATCTACTACAATGTCACCCATGTTGGTCTGCTGCTCTGATCCTCACTGATAAGCTTTTGACTACACATTGTCAGGTGTTGGACTGCAGCCTGAGTTTAGCCTTTTATCCTCAGTGATAGAATGCAGAACACCTCCTCTGTTCCTTGCCCTCCACTCTTGACCCCAGTGCACTGTGGTCACTTTCAGTGTGTTCAGAGTTGGCACTAGTAATGTTGTTTGTGCCCACGTGAACAACACAATGCCCACATGAAGAGCAAGAAGTAATGGGTTAGGATGAGTCTCAGTAGTATCTCCACAATGTCCTGAATCCAAGCAACAGCCATCAAATTCATCAAATTGATCAAGTAGATGGATATCTCTGTTCCCTCAGCCTCAAATGACTCTCAGCTACTGCATCTCACTTGTGAACACTTGGTGTAGACTCACCTGGCTCTGATGTGTCCTCTGTTAGGTCTTGCTCTTCCTCTGTTCCTAGATCTCTATACCTCTTCTGCAATTATTCTTCTATAGTCAGAGGAAAAGCCTTCCTTCTTAGCAGAAATTACAAGTCCTCAGCCTACCTCCTCTTGAGAGCCTTCTTCCACTTTGATAGCAAGCTCTAGATATTCCTTTTTCTTTGCATTGTTTTGAGAGTGTTGTCTCTGTGAAGATTCTGACAGTCTCCTGTAAATAAATCCTCCTGACAGGATACTTCTCTCCTTCACAGCTGCTTTGTCCAGTGGTGCGGTGCCTTGGCCAGAGCACAGTCCCCACAAGACTGACTCCATCTCCCCCATCCTAGGAGAAGACTCCAGGCACCCCTTAGTGTGGCTGGGAGTGCACAGGCACAGTTCCCAGTATCAGTTCTGTTTGGGTCAGTGTCAAGGATGATTGTGCCAGTTGATGCTGGAGGCTGTGCTGTGGTGTGGCAACACCAAAGCTGCACAGCATCAAACTGTCCCAGGCAGGATGAGGGAGCAGTGCTGGCTGGCATAACTCCATAAATACCAGGGCAGGAATTCAATGGTGGAAAAGAAACAAGTAAATAGAGAATGTTCTTCCTGTAGCTGCTTGACTCCTGATGCAGAGGCATGTCCAGACATAGTGGAAGTCAGCTCACTGCTGCCTGATGTGATGATGAAACATCTGGATGTTTTGTCCACCTTTCATCTCATGCTGGAGAAGAAACTGGATTGGGAGAGGAGATGAATCCAGTAGTACTTCATGGAGGCTAACTGAAATGCAGTAACTTATTGCCATCAACATTCCATTTTATCACAAGTAAGTACATGCATTAGGCTTTATTTTTTCTTATTGTTGTTTCCCATATCTGAGAAAATAAGGAGCAGCAAAGCAGAAAATTAATCAAAATTAAAAGACCCATCCTCCTGTAACATTTTTCCATGCAGGCTTTTAAATTTATTTACAACAAGGTATTCATTAATTTTTTGGACATTATTGTGCAGGAAAAAATGACAGTATCTTAAAACCCAATGTCATTCTATGTTGGAAAATGGCATTGTTATGGAGGTTCTTGCAGTTTTGATAATATCTGATAGCATTTAATTATTAGGGCACACTTGTGAGTGGTTTGTGAATAGAAGAATGCACGCTTGATTAGGGTGGAACAAGTTGATAATCTTGTGTATGATTCATAAACAATGATACCTAGAAAATGGAACCTACAAGAATAAAATTTTTAATTACAGATTGCAAAATACAGACCAGTGATGCTGATAAGGTTTTTGTTCATGTTTTCTAATTCTCTGATACAGTTCTGCAGAAATACTTACAGGTCTTCCATTTGCTTCAGGCTGTATTTTAAGCATCCTTCATGAAGAACATCAGTAGTTTACATATCATATATGATCTCAGAGAATTTATTTAAAAATACAAGGGCAATGTTTTTGTGTAGCAAAATTGCCCTTTGAAAATTGTTATGATAATTCCAGTATAAAGTTATAATTTACACAGCCACTCTTGTCTGTTCAGATATTGCATCTCTTAGATTCCTTTTATCAGGGCTTAGTAGCTTGTAAAAAGAACCTCTGCGTAGGAAAAAGGTCAAAAAACTCCTGGAAAAATATTAACTATTGATACAAGTTAGTTATTTTTGGAAGGTGAAGACTAGGATGTTTGGGACCAGATATTCTAGAAAACCTGTCAGTCTAAGGTCATTATTTATATTACACCATTTTTTTCAGTAAAAAGAATGCCAAAACCTACCAGCAAACTGTAACAAATCACTGCCTTTTAAAATGTAAGAGGTATTGGTCTGAAAGAAAGACACAGAGTAGGATTTGTAACTTAAAACACTGTAAGCAACTTTTCCCATGTGTTTTTAATTTAAATTTTCTTAACCTACAGATCTGGAAGCTTGTTGTATGCCATTATCTTTTGTATCTTGGTATAGTCATTCTCTTGCACAACTGTGATGAAATTTGCAAAAAAATGTGCTATAGATGTAAAGATGCTAGATCTGGGATTTTGCTGGAGTCATTGTGTCTTTGAGAAAAGAATGCCCTACCCAGATATTTGTGAGATATGATAGAATGGATAGTTTTACATCAAAGTTAGAATACTTGTGTTTTGTATAAATACTTGGAAAATACACCTATCTGCAAAACTGCCTGTGTATTTTAGGCAATAGTGGCTAGTTTTGTCAAGGAGGAAACACTGCAGTTCTAGTTCCAATTGATATTTTATTATGCATATTAAAAGAACACAAGATTCTGACAAAGATCCAGAACACTGAAGAAACAGAGGGGAATATGTCTTAGTAATGAGAAGTGGGAGACCTAATTTTGCAAATTGTTGTAAATAAGAATAAATCAGGTTAGGATCTTTCAGATTTCAGAGGCATGTTACAGGGCTTAGAAACAGAAGGAGCCATGTTGTTTCTTTCATCCCGGTATTTAGGAAAACTTTATAAAGTTGAAAGATTTCTAATAAAGAGAATAATTATTCCTGAAAAGTTTGCCTTTTGAAAAAAAAAAAAAAAAAGGCAATATTCTGACTAAAAGTGCTTGGAAGAATTTCAAGTAGCTGCTCCTGAAATAAAAATTCTGTGAGATGTAGACAGCCTAATTCATTTTAGTCAAGGCCCCAGCAAGTCCACATACAAGTAATTTGTCATTTTTCCATGGTGCCAGAGAATTTGGTGTTTCTGTCATGTAGTTCAATGTTTTGTTGAAGCCAGCTATCTTATATACTTTCTCTACTGAAATGTACTTGTGGCCTCCTTTTTCATCCCAGTTGTGTTATATTGTGAATGTTTCTGAAATAAGGACTGTACTCTCTGTCCTTGTATATGGAACTGAAGAACAGAGGTCTTTTGGAGCCAGAGTAGAATTTGTTTTATAGGTAGTTTAAAACTACAGTTTGGTAGCTGGTAAATAGGCAGTTGGAAGGCAGGTCAGTAGATGATGAAGTACAGTTAATTACCTTGTGTGGTAAGCATAGCATAAAATCCATACTTGAAAATAATCCCAGTAAATAGAATCATCATCAGCTCCCCACACAAATTCTTATATTTCCTAGTTTTCCACAGAAACTGTTTATGTTAGAACAGAAACAGATACAGGGGTGGCAGGTGTTTCATAGAGTTCGTGTGTTCGGTTCTGAAAGATTAAGGTTGCTGACATAATACATGCTACAGAAGACACAAAGAATTAAGAATAATGACAATAATTCTTTCTTATTAACATTAATAATTCATGTTGCACCTTTCATTTCAAGGTGATCAATATTATATTTTCATCCTCTGGGTTGGAAGAGGTGTAAGGTCACCAAACAAACCAGTAGCAAATTTGAATTTTCTCTGTTCCAAGGCAAGCATAAGTCTCAAAAAAGTAGTTGATCTAACTAATGAATTGTCTTTCTAATATTTTCCTTTGAAGAGATGAGTGTACGGCCAAACAATAATTTGATTGCTTTTTGAAGTATATAGATTTGAAAAATGTATTTTGTCTGTTTAGAAAGCAGTGAAAATAAGTCACTTTTATTACTTTGGAAACATGTGTTTCATGGGCATCATCCATTATTGTTTCATTTACTGTATATATCCTAAAAGGTTTTAACCTTTTCTCTGATTGCCACATTTTTAATGTAAAAAAAAAATATATATATATATATATACTTATACCTAAAACAATATAGAATGATTAATATTCTGTTCAGTCCTGTCTTTTGAATGTGGTAAAGTGTAAGTTTTATAACTGGAGTCCATCAGCTAGAAATGTATTACAAAATATGAGCCATTTGTACCTTTTACTACTCTGAGAATATATTAAAAATGGGCAGATGTGGTAGGCTACCTGGATGGTCAGAACAACTTCCTTTTCTCAGTTTCTGTAGTTCTGACCTGTGCATAAGGCACATATATTCTGTCACGTTCTTTCTCTATGCCTCTGTGTTCTTTGGGAATTTAAGCTTATTTTCTTTTTTGTATCAATGATGTCCCTAGAATACACATTTCATTTTAAAATTAATATGTGCAAATCCATGTATTCAGATCAATTCCCAGTTACTCAGAGCAATGGGGATGATGATGCTTAGATAATGGGAAAAGTAGGTCCAGCATTTTTTTTTCTGATCTATTGTCTCCCCATTCCATGTTAGTTGGGGCTAATAGGGAGTCAGAATTCATTACAGTGCTTGGTCTGAGCTAGTTCATTTAGACTGCCCTTAGCTGAGCGCTTTATCCTCGTGTTCAAATTCATGAGAATGCCCATTAGCAAGGCTGCTCTCTGCATTTTCCTGTTTTCACACTTGAACTGGTCTTTCCCTAACCCAGCATGCTGGAGAGCCTGGCATAGAGACCACAGCAAGACATCTTCTATCTAGATAGGATTTTTAGCTGCAGGTGAACACTGGCCCTCCCAGGTCTGTGGGTATCAAGGTGTTGTGCTACTGGACTAGGTTGATGCTGCTAGAAAACAAACTCTGATTATCCCTCTTGTAGGCAGCTTGGCTACAGCCTATGCTAGGAGGTCTGCCTATCTCTCCTGCAGAGGCTGTTCAATTATTTGTTGGCTGAAAAGAGTAAACAGAGCAGTGTGGCTGTTTTCAAAATGCAAATGACTAAATTTAAACTAAAGAACCTGATCAAACCTGAAATACCTGATGCAGTTTCCTGACCTTTATCTGTGACATAAACCTTCATGGTCCACATCTAGATGATTATGAGTTGATTGTATTTTGTATTTTTGAGGATCTTAGCTATATGAAGGACCAAGAAACACAACATAATTTAACTGGTTTTTCACTCAGTCATTTCCCCCCATGTCCAAATTCAGTTTTGCTCTGCTGGCAATTGTTGTGCTAATAATTGTGTTAGTTTCTAAGCATCATCACATGCATTACAAAGTAGTACTTAATTAGCAATTCGATTTGAAATAATCAAGTTTTTTTGTTAACTCGGAAAAAGACATAAAGATTGGATTAATGTTAATTTTCATTTCCTTTGTGTTTAGAAATAGGTTTTGTGCCATTCAGTGCATAAAAGGTTTTCTTTCTTAAAACCATGTGCGTGTGTAGCAGTTGTTTTGGTGTTGGTTAAAACAATGAGTATGCTTGGGTTTAAAACACTTAGCATGCAACAGGTTATTAATATTTCAGAAATGTAGTCAATGTAGAATATTAATTTGAAAAAATTATCACCAAAATTGGTTAAATTTTTATAAAATAAAAATGTGGATGATCATGACTGTGCACTGCTGCATAGATATCCCTTTGGAAATGAGTGAGGACTCAGGAATGTCATGAAGACTTAGCATTCCACAAATTGTTTTCTTATTCTTCCACCTTTCACTCCATTGTGACACCATTATTTTCTGCTACTTATGTAGCAGGTACTAGAATTTATGTCTAAATTTTAAAAATGTTGGTATGATAAAAAGAAAGGAACCTTTTTACATTTATGCAATTTAAGTTTGGAGAATAAAGTAACAATACAAGAACTGTTTTGAAGGTATGATTTTTTAAGAGTTGCCAAATGTTTAATTTGTTAGTGCAGCAAAGCTTTTTAATAGAATTGCAGAATGTAAGGGAGGAAGAGTTGTCACAGATCATCTTGTCCATTTCCAAGCCTTAGAGTTACCTGTCACTCCTGACAGGTATTTGACCAGTGAGTCTTAAAAATGTCATGTTATAGAAACAGCAGTTTGGAAACAGCAGAAATGCAAAAACTGTCTTTACAGTCAGCAATCATATGTCTGATTGAGTCTTTTTTTTCCCATATGAAGATAACATCTGCATTTAGTCTGATGCTTGCAGAAAAT